AGTCCTTATGTCCATCCTAAAAGAAAACAGATTTTTCTGTGTCATTATACTCTAGACTAGTCTCAAAGCAGACAAGTATTTTTCACTTTGATTTTTAGTACAGACTCAGGTCAGACCTACATTAAACATATATAGATAAAATTTCAGTTTAAGTTCCTAACAGTAATTTTACTTTTTTTTTTTTTAAGTGTATAATTAAAAGAGAAATTAAGTGATGGAAAAACAGACATCTGTTCAAAGACAAACTGATCTCAACTCTAAGGACTCTGACGTTCCATTTTGGAAGCAGTATCCTTAACTTCTTTAAAACAGCTATATCTATTTCAACAAATGCACATCCTTACTATAAAAACTAACCAAAATCTTATGTTTATGATATATGACATACAGATGAATTTTTCAAGAATATTACTTCAGGAATTTTTTTTTTAATGAGGTGAGAAACTTGTGGGAAAAGAAAAAATAGACCATAAGGCTCTAGTTACATCTGAAAAGCTGTGGAGTCACAGCAGCCCTCAAATGCATAGCAGCTCATACAAATCTTGAGTTAAGTCTTTCTGCAGCTGGTTATCTGCTCCTGCAGAAACTCTGACCTGACCTCAGCTGCTGTAGTTAGCATCTATGTGAAGTCCTGAGTAAAAAGGAAAAGTGAGAGAGAAGTGCTTACAAGACAATACTATACTAATTTAAGGCTTTTTTCTTTAAGTGGCTATTTTTAAAAAGGGCTCATGACATTTCAGAAATATAAGCAATACCACAGTCTATCAAAAGCCACTGGGTTAGAATTAATCCTCAAAGCCAGGTTCTGCCTCTGGAATACATACATAAGCTTCACTGTAGAAGGGAAAAATCTGAAATTTGTGTATCATCTTTTCAATATCTCAAAAGAGGTTTTTCACTAAAACTGGTTTTCAGAGGTCATCACCACAATAAGACTTTAATATTTAGGACTTTGTTACATTTTCAGTGGTTAGAAGCAATCTGAAGCAGAAGACCTGAACAAGGATGAGGAAGAGGAAATCAGACTCAGAACACCAAGAACTGTCTCACACGTGTGTATTCTGACAAGATATATTGAATATGAGTGAAAAGACAACTTAACCAGGAATGTTTTCAAGCTTTCAGAAATTCACCCCCTACTGCAAGGCTCCCAGATCTTAACCTCATTCTGATGTCAGGCATCTTGAAGTAGTAAATCTTGTAAGCAACAGAATAAACTTTCCCAAAATACTCCCACTTACATCTCCCACACAAACAGGATCAAGTGTAGGCAGACGATACACTGCAAGACTGTTTGGGTTTTCTCCACCTGTGGCCAGAAGGGTCCTGGTGGGGTTGAGTTCAATGGCATGAATACCACATCCCTGCTCGTTCACCATGTCGGGTTCACGATCTTTCAGAATAGGAATCTTGGTAATTTGACCAGTCTGGACATCTACTACAAATAACTGGGGAGAAAAATAGGACATGTAAGTCATTATTGAACAGGTAAGAATGGTCAAATATCCTTCCTATTTTGAGCAGACGTTCAAGTTGGAATCCACAAATGCTGCGAGTATGGCTGAAAAATGCATAAATTCCTTCTTAACACAAATAAATTAACTTAATTACAGTGTGTTTTATGTCAATCAATCAATTTAGTTTTCACAGAAATGGAAGAGAGAGGAGAGAACTTTGTCATGGGAGGTTTCCCATTTAACAAAACCCTTGAATCTGTAACTCATGTTCAATACCATGACACAACAATACTGTTTCCAACACCACAGTGAGGAAGAGACACCTCAAAACATCCAGTAAGCCCCACAACGCTCAGCACAACTCTGTCTTCCAGATAAGGTACTTACCATGAAATTCATGCTTTGCCAAACTGACACTATAAATTTATATAATTGTGAGTTTATTTTTTGGTGCTATACAGAATAGTAACTAAATGCAGAGTTGCCAGTGCAAACATCTAAAAAAAGATAACTAGCTTCATACCTCATACTGCAAGAGGACTAAGTTCAAGCCCCATGTCACTGTCCCCTTGGCAGAAAATTCAGTTAGAAACCCTAACAAGTCATCAAACAGTTATGTCATTTCAAACATATATAACCATATGGTTACAAGCTAAACCAGGATGTAGGTTCACATGAACTGCCAAAATGCACTTTTTTTTGGGAGGCTCTTGTGTTGGATCATTTCAATCATTTCATGTTTTTCAGAGGGCAGCTGCACTAACAGTCAAACAGGTATAACAGAGGGGTCAAAGTCCTGTGGAATGGAGGATCTGAAGCCGATTTGGCACGAGCGAAAGTAATGTTGAATCACAGACCAGAATTATAATTCTACACACATACACATACCTCACCTAAGTTTGTCCCTTCTATAACCAAAGAACTTCTCAAAGCCTCTGGAAGTGAACTGAAGATGGAGAAGAAAACAACAAGAAAGAAAAAAACTCAATGTAATTTAAAAACCACAAACCTGTTTAGAAATCCTTTATCAGAGTTTGCTAGGATTGAAGAGAAATCTACAGGTTCTCAGAGTTCCTACACATACAGGTCACCTTCGCTAAAATCTGAAAGACTGTAGATCTGTTCTTTAGTAAGTATGGAAAAAAACCCCACAAACAAAATTCAGCAGCATCTCTGTTATTCTTGATTAAACTATCAGATGTACTAGCAGAACATCAATGTCAAAGCAAAACCTGATGAAGTATGGTACATTAAAGTCATTCTACAGAGAAACCTGAAATCCATTCATCACTATTGGTGTGTTGTGTCTAGAATTAGGCATCACCTTCAACCCACAACCGATCCTCCTCTGTAGGCAGCAGCCTTGTACAGATGAGTGTTTCTCCAAGGACTGAATCTTCATTTTAGTTTTTTTATTTTCCATGCAGGTGTGGGGTCAGGCAACAGCTGAAGGGCAGCTGAGTAGGAGGGAGACACTCCTATCTCCCAAGCCTTACAATACAGCTTGCTGGCTGAGACAGCTGGTAAAACTCTGGTGCACAGAGCAGCCCCTCAGCCCTAGCCATGCACCTGAAAATTAACAACTGTACTGAAAGATCAGGACCAGTAATTACCTCTCTTCTCACCCACCCTTGTCAAGGTTAAAAAAGACTTACTCTGATGTGTAATTCCTTCAGCTAAGCTCTAAACTAACTGGGCTGAAAAGGTACAGAAGTTGGAAACACTGAAGTATCAGCCCTCCCATTTCTGCCACGATCTTCAATCTCAAGATCATTTTCCTGTAACAAGTTTCCAAATCAAGATACTTTTTTCAGAAGCAGTAACAGGACATATTTCTTGCAGTGCATTCACCTGCTTGTACCCCACTCCAATCCATCACCAGCTTTGTCTGGAATTACTTTGTCATTTCCTCACTTTTCTCCCCGAGTCACACAGTATTGCCATGGCCAGAACATCTACTGTTCTTAGGGCAAGAAACTTTGCACCATTAAGGGACTGGCTCTGTACTTTCAGCTGTAAAGTTCTGATCAGTAACTGCCCCTTGCTTCTTAAGGAACTTGGCACACTTTGGGTAGTTTAATAACAGCCACCACCTACCACCTTCTTTCAATAAAGGAAGCAGGTGCCATCTGCGTACCCTACGTCTCTGGCATCACCTGGGGCAGAGCAGGAAGTCAGGAGCTCACACTTGGAAGTTGCACCAATTGCCAAATCTTCCCTGTAGATCCAGCATACAGAAGCCAAATGGTTGTTAGATGCTTTTAAAGCCCAAATGGGAGAAATGTTAAGAAACAAGATAGACACCCAGCTAAGAATGCAGCAAATTTGAACACTGTTTTAAGAGTTTGAGACACTGCAATAAGTACAAAATAACTAACTGCTTTTAAACAAGTACAGCCAAGACCACAGCACACAATGACATAAATCCAGACAAAAACCAGAAACTGGCCTCCTCATTCCGAGCAAACTTCATTATTCTTGAAGTAAGTGCATCCACAAATAACTCCAAAGCAGGCTGGACTCAGACTCCTGACAAAGACATGTTAGCTCAACTATGTTTTTTTCTTTACCTCAAGCAACAATAGGACCCAACTTCTTTTCCAGCTTCTCATTATCCAGGAGTTACAAACCAGCCACAGAAACTTTTCCTGCATGCAGTAAATCCCCACCAGCCTCCAGACAGTGAACTAGGCACGTCTGTCCCTTGATTTTAAGCTTTGCACACAATTCAGTTCTTCCTGTGGGTAAGACACACGCACGCCAACCGTTCGCACGCCAAGAACACCCAGCATTTACCAAGCCAGGATTGCTTTGGCCACCTGTCAGGAGTCCAAGGACCACTGCTCGTCTGTGACGAACAGAGCAGTCTCAGCTCTCGCGTTCTCTGCAGGACAACCTTGTTCTAACAAGGAAACAGGCAGGATGATGACAGAAATTCACTTTTTTTTTTTTCTAAATTAAAGCCAGTCAGATGTACAGCTTCCAACGGTGCTATTGCTCAAGGATCATGGCAGACAGGCATGGCAGACGAAGTCACAAATCTTCATGATCTATCCCTACTCACACTCCATGAGATCACTAGCTGCATACTTACTTACCTCTTGCTTTGCAAAAATGATGAGAAGTCATTTTGGCAAATGGCTCCCATACAATTAGTGTGGCTGTGCTCTTTTAAAAACGCTTATGACCAAGTTCATCAAGAAGCTGCCCCACTTCATTGACTAAGCAACTTCATTAATCAACTTGCCAAAAGTAAATACTGTGGTAGACAATCGAGTACCTGAGGACCAGAGTCTGAACGGCAAAATTCATCCTTCTGTGACATACAATACTGAGGGCAGAACAGTTTGTCAGGCTCTCCTGTCAAGTCTACTTTCACTTTTTGACCTGTGTTTCAGAGACAACAATTGAGGGGGGAAATAAAGCACAAAGCTACCAATTCATTAAATAAGTGCTTTTCCTCCGCACCTTTCACTGAAAGCATTGATATCTACAGCAAGACTAAAAATGAGGCCTCTGAAATGTCGTTTCAAGGCAGCAAGTAGACTCATGTCTTTTGCCACTGTCCCTGCATACAGAAAAGCAGATGGACAGGCAGCCCTATTTTACAGTTGATCATAAAAATCTATTGGAATAAAAACAAAGGGTGCCACCCCAAACTACAGCACATTTTTATTACACAAGAAAGGTGGATGTAGATTTACAAGGCAAAAAGCACATGCATGAGAGAGATTGCTCCTTCTTCATGCAAGAAGTGCTTATTGTGATACACTCTGTGCCCCAGCTATTAACATACTGCTCTCAGAAGTCACAGCCACACTCTTGTCATCCACATGAACGTCTGAAGGAAACCCAGGATAAACACATCACCTTGCTAAAAATAGAGTCAGTAAGAGAGAATCAATCACAATGAAGTTTCACAATTGGCTTCAGCCAGCCTTTGAGAATCCACGTGCTTGTTCCTCACCCACCCAAACACCCTGTGACAGCAGTTAGTACTCAGATAGCTGCAAGGTCAGCTGGTTCAGGTCTCTGCCTTCAATGAGAACTAACCCTACAAGAAAACCCACCTGAACTCAAAGCAGCAAGCTGATCCAGCTGAGCCCCCAGCCACGTGTGCCTCAAGGCAAGCAAGAACATCCCATTCTGCAACAGCACAACTCCAGACCAGCTGAAGCTGATCACAAAAACTGCACACTCAGCCAAGCTGGAAAACTACAACATTGTCCTTCAAATTTGTTTTTTGCTAGCAAAACAACAAAAGCAAGACAGCATTTAGTGTCATTACACCAATACTATTGCTGGTCATGCTAAGTAGCAATGTTCCATTTTTTCCAGTTCTCAGCCTTGCCTTTTATCCAGATTTTAAACATCTCTTTTTCATGTTCATAAAATACTTGGCATAAAGTTCTTCCATTCTTTGGTAAAACAGACTTACTAACGTATGCCAAGGCCCAAAGAAAGGTGGTCTCTACAGACTAAGCTATCAAACTGGCATGTCTTCTGCCATGATCTGGGGTCAGGGCCACCCTCAGAACTGTAACAGATGCTCTCTGTTAACCCCTCCTCCCACCCCCAAAAGGAAAAAGGGAATAAGGGAGAGATTTAAAATAAGAAAAGAAAAGGAAAACAGCTTTAATACTACCACTAACAATAACAGTAATAATGATAATAAAATAGACTATGTACAGTTATATACAAAGTTAGTCCCAAACCCAGCTCCTCCCAATGGCAACACATCACTGTGACCCCTGGCTGGGGAGCAGCCCCCCAGGAGAGGTTCCCAGGCTGGACTAGGCCACGGACAGCAGCTGGGTACAGGAGCTGGATTCTAGAACTCAGTTCAGGAACACAGGGCTCTGATCAAAGGCAGGGTGGAGGAAGTCCTTCTCAAATGCTGGCCGCTACAGCAGAAGCACCAAGCAGGCAAAAAGAAGGAGCAAGAGAGACTGAAGGGCTACCAAAGGGGCAACAGCAGGGCTTGCCCCTCTGATCCTTCAGCTTTGGGAAGGCCATGTGATGGAACACCCCACTGGTGAATCTTGGGGTCGGTTCTCCTGCCCACTCCTCCCTGCGGGTGCGGTGTACTCTCTGCCCCACTCCGTGTGGGATCCAAGCTCAGCAGTGGCCTTGTTCTGCATACCAGTCCCTGGCAGTAACTCCAAACATGAAGTCTTATCACTGCTGAAGCCAGACAGTTTATGAAAACGCTGCTTGAAAACTTCAAACAAGACAGTTAATTAGAAGAGCTTTAGCTAAAAAGTTAAAATCATTTAACCCAGCAGCTCTGTTTTACCCCAAACCAAGACATCTTTCACATAGGGATCAGAACAAACACTAATCCTCGCACAAAATCTACTCAGTTTGTGCAGTACAGGTGACACAAGTGGGCAACAGCCTTACACAGCCTCCTTGAAAGGGTCCAAAGCAAAACAAACTAGAATATAATGAAACCACCTGAAAAGCAAGCAGGAGTAAAAGAAGCCAAAAAGCTGACTGACTCCAAATTCACATTTTCAGAGACAAGACTATGAGATCAGGTACCCCACCTCACTATGAAACACTGAAGCGCTGTCAGCTAATGGGCACACACCTGTATGTCATTGAATCTGCTCACTGCTAAGGTCACATTTGTCGGTTCTTTTTTGTCTTGCCCTCCATATTTAATTTCAGGAGGCTGGCAGACAGTTAACGCACACTGGAAAACAGCAAAGGATGGGGAAGTGAGAGACTCTGCCTGCTAAAGTCACATGTCTACCACCCACCCACACCATACCTGGCACAGACACTACCCTTCCTAGACTCTGCAGGCAGACACGGCTGTCGCACGCAGCTGACAGACAAGTAAATACTCTTGAGACAGCAAACAGCACCTGGCTATTTACTCATAAGCCACTGAAAGAAAGGTGAATGGAAGTGTCAATTACAGGCATCAGAGGTTTATTTACACTGAGTGTTGGTCACTGTTCAGTGGACTTTGAGTAGAGTTACAAACTGCATGAGCATGACTTCTCATTCCTGCCTTGGGATCAGACACAGGCAGTCATCTTCGTTCCTCATTACACGTGCAAAATCAGACGATACTTTAAATTGAAGTGCAAGTGGAAACAGTTTTCCTCACTGAATCCATATTCACAGACTGAAGAGTAACTGTGCATGGAGTTCTCACTACTGCAAGCCCAGGACTACAAGACTAGTTTATAATTGCATGAGACGCACATGCACACAACAGACAATGGTATCTCTTCAGCAAATACATATGTGAAGGAAAACCTCTATAAAAAGAAAGAAGAGCTGGTGATTTACAGCAGGGCATAAAAGGCAACCATGAATCTACCCAAGAGAGAAAAGGGATCAGCTGGCATTCTGAGAAACCAGAAGGGAGAACTCGGTAACAAAGTTTTAAATACAAATCAGGCCTGCCTGGAAAGAAAAAAAGCAAACAAAAATATTAGCTTTGAGGCAATTATATTCTCAAGTAACAAAAAATAAGCTTCTGTATTTAGGGAATGATATACAGATCTTGTATTTTTTCATCTTTAAGAAACAGCAAAAGAATTATGTCCTAAACACATACACAGAATTAAGGAAACAAAAGAAGCTGCAAATTGATTATTGGAACTTTTTTAGAAGTTGCTTTATTCTTCACGGTCTCCTGAAACAGTAAAAAAACCAACCAAACAAAAAAACTTCAGCAATATTATGTTCAGTATTTTTGCTTCCCATAAGCTTCTCTCCTACCTACACATCTCAAAGTTTCTCTAAGAAGCTTGAGCAAAAGATGCTGATTACAGAGATCACCTTCTTCTGAGGCTTCTTAGGATCAGTCTTTGGTAATTTAGATGCCTTTGGTAATTTAGATGCCATAGTGACACACCCTAAATGTCTTCAGCTCTCAGAGATTTGCCTGCTCATGCATTTCAATTTCAAAAAGGTTAAGAAGTCCACTGTGTACAAGATCAAGGAGATTCTGATAAACGTGAACCCTGCCTTAGAAAAGCCTAGATGCTTGTGTTTGAATTTTTAGACACTTCAATGCTTGTATAGATTCCATAATTCTAAATCTATCAGAAAAAGCATGCATCTTTAGGAAACTCATATATTTGACACAGAGCTGACCAACTGTGACCACCAGGAGGGTGAAGAACATTCTGGTTCTGCAGAACAATGAATTTATTCCATCTACACAAAGATACCCAGGGGTATTTTTAAGGATTAAAGGTTACCCCAAATAACAAAGAGCTGTCATTACTAAAAATGAGCAATTGACAGAGAGCTCCATACTCTTTTCAGTGTTAATATTGACTAGTACTGTCAAGTTATTAAAGGCAAATGCACTCCTCTATGACAGGAGTGTGTTTGTTTTGTTATTAAAAATAGTGAATCCCTCTAGCACACCATAGCCAAGGGCCATTTATAAATTAAACGCTAAAAGCTCTCAGTGACACATTCAAGCTTTGATTAAAGTAACTGCTCTGGTTTATATTTTTCTGATGCATTAGCTGTAATTACATGCAGCTCCAATGCAGAAAAACCTATTGAAGACAGCCAGGTTGTTTTAGATTTACTCCCAACTTAAACACCACAACTTCAGTGTATGAGAACTGGCAAAGGTGTTCTTCTTTGTTAGGTTGCTTACTCAGGAGATGAGAGAGAAAAATCTCATAATTAGAGTGTAGTTTAACGCTCTACTTGTTCAAAAGTGAACACAAAGCAAACAAGCTAAAGCTATTACAGTCTCCATAATTCATATACAACCCTTCACAATCCTGAAGTGTCTACTTTTGTGATTGTTGTGTTTCGCTTAATAAAAGACAAGATCTGCCTGGAATGGTAAGTCCAGCCGTGGAAGCATCCACTTCACTGCAGCGTATGCAGCTGGAACAACAATAGGGTTGAATCCCTCTTCAGTTCCATGACTGCTTGGTCCCAAACAGCTTTCTGCGGGGCTGCGTTAACAACACGCTTGCCCGTTTGCCTTCACTGCAGCTGCTCTAGAATGACAGAAGTTACAGAACACAGCAAAACTGTTACAGCTCAGTAAAACACAGCCATCTTGCTAGAGTAAGCAAGATTTTTGAGAGCTTGTGTTTCAGCAGAAGTTTGCCTCCTGTAAGCTGTTCCAGGAACAGTGCTGGCTGGTGACCGGCTGAGGGGATGAACACACATGGAGAAAGTAAGCAGAAAGATTCAATGTCAGGCTTATTCCTGATAAAAAATAATTTTGTCTATAAAGTTGGGCCTTGGTTCTTATCACCTACTGCAAGAAGGTCTCCTGCTGTGCAACTATGAAAAATAAGAGAACATATGAAATAGAAAAAAAAACAACCTTGCAAGTCAAATCACTGAGCACAGCTTCAGCACAAAACAAATCTTAAAGCAAAGAAACCAGCACACCAACCGACATAGTTTGAGATTTAAGAGCTGCTTGATGTACACGTTCCTTACAACACTTAATTGACTTCTGTCACACTAACCAACTTGGAAAGAACATGTTTGGGATTTTGCACTAACAATCAGAACTTACTGTGTGAGAAATTGCAACTTCAGCTTCAGCCCATGAAGATGGGCTGCTAACTCTGGCAGAGACAATATTACCTAAAAAGTATTATTTCCTCCATTTACAAATAACGTAGAACATCATCTTAATATTCCCCTGTAGCATTTCAAACCCAAAGCACCACTTCTAAGAGTCTGAAGAAGTGTCCACTTTTGCTGAAGTATATAAAAGGTACACGAACAAGAGAAGTTATTTCAACACTGAAAACAGAGTTAGTGTGAAGTAAAAAAAAAAAAAAAATCACAAGATTAACATGAGAAGGATAATCCTGAAGATCTGAAATTCATTTTGGAACATTTCCGGCTACATGACAAACACGTGGAGTTTAACTGTAGTTGTTAGTTTTCTAGAAGTTTGGCAAAATCATCAGCACAGAACCATACATAAAACCAAATTGTGTAAGACTGCACATAATAAAAGACACTTAACAGCAACTTTTGCCAGACACGATAGATATTCTTTTGCAAAGGCAGCACTGGATATCTGCAGGACAAGAAGAAAGATCCAACCCCGTTGTTGCTCTTCACCTTACAAACAGGTGTAAATCACTCTGTGGATCAGTCAAATGCTGCAAGCACTCACAAACCCCACGTCTGGATTCGCAGCCGTCTGCACAGTGCCATATTTTCAGGTGAGGACAGGTCACCATTAAGCATTACCTCCATTCAAAATTAACTGCGCGTGATTTTGACTGTGCTCCTAATAAATTCCTCATATTTGCCTTGGCAGTCTACACACTTTGATTAGAGTAGACCATCATTTTGGGATGGAATAATTAACAAAGGAAAGAGAAACAGGTGGCACTTACTGTGTTGCATTTTGTCCCACACACCACTTGTCGGTGATTCAGCCACTGGGAGGCAAACACTTTATTGAGGGTTCCAAGGTGAAATTCTCTCTCCTTCAGGAGGCTGGGAAGCTGCTGAGCTGCGTATCCATACAACAAATGGCGATAGCTAGACTCACTCTGCATTCCCACCTCTCTACCCTTCACGTAGTACACCAGAGACCTTTTCACTGGAGGGAGTCTTCTCCTTTTGTGAGCTGACTGATCCCACTCATACTGTAGAAAACAAAGATGGAAACTAAGTAGAACAAACGTTAAACGCGAGCCTTCAAAATTCAAAGATATTCCCAGTAAAACACTGAAGTCTTCCGAACTACCCATGGAAAGCCATGCACAGAGACTGACTGAGACACACTGACACAGAATTCAGCAACATAAAATTAAACCGAAGTATTTGCTAAAGTAACACCGCAGTGATATTGTGAACAGCCCACGCTGGTTCAGTTGAGAGGTCAGACGCTTACAGAAGGAGCACTTAAGATAGGAGAGGGCAGCCCCGCAGGCACCCCCCGTGAGCCGGGTGGGTTTGGGGTGACTCGGCGGGGGTCCCCCGATACCGACCTCGCTCTTCGG